GGGCTAGGGTAGGCTGACGCCGCATGGGTGGGAGGCGGGGCAGGGCGAGGGGCGGGCGAGCCAGCAATTTAACAAACGGTTCGGTGTGCTGCGAGGCCAATAAATTGCAAAAAAACACAGAACCGTTTGTTAAATTTCTGGCTCGCCCGCCCCTTGCCCTGCCCCCACTATTTATTGGCGCAGGGCGGGGCGAGTCAGCAATTTAACAAATGGTTCGGCCGAACCACCTAGAACCGGCAGAATCCCACCACTGCTGCTGTTGCTATATGTTTGTAATAATGTCTTATCAAAGGTTGGCATTAGGAGTCACAAAGCATAGTTATACAGTGCAAAGTCTAATTCAAGGAAATATTACTTGTAATTCAGTCAGCCCAGAAAAAAAACACCAGACAAATCTAAATGAGCCAGTATTCCCAAACAAACATAAAGTGAAAGTAACAGTCTAGGCAAGAGGTTCATGTGCTAGGAAACTTTATTAATATTCCAGGTATGAGAGTAATAAGTCATATAATGTCTTAAACCACTCTGGCTGTTTTATACCACAGAGTTTAGCTACCTTAGTTCAGCTGGCACTCACTATCTGATATGTTCATCCAGTTGTATTGAGTTAACAGCCTTAGCTTGTGTTAAGTCTGATCTGGATGCGAAATCATCCAGATATGCTAAATTAGTGTCAAGGATACCTTTATTTCCAAGCAAGCAAGCTCATTTGTGCTGCTTTGCCTTCTGATATTCAACACAGTTGTGCCACCATCAGGTAGGCTGAATGGCTGCAGTGGTGAAAACTGGATTTTTGAATTAAATGTTCTTCTTAGTGAGGACTAATTCTACCCCAAGCTCTAGGCAAAAGATTTTATTATATTGCTTGACCCATGCCACTTACAATGAAGTCATGAAATATAAAAAGAAAAGTGTTTTCCTTTGGGTGATGTTTTGTTACAGTATTATTCTATAAGGTGGACATGCAGAAATTTACACTGTTAATTCATTTTGAAATTATTGTATACCATTAATATAAAAGGAGCATTTTGTGTGTTCTTATCATTGCCAGGTTTAACATTTAGTGATCAGAAAGCTGTTTTAATCAATTAATAAAATTTGTTGTTTGGATTTATTTTTTAAAACTGATACCTACTTTGTGTGAGCCAGTTTGGTGTAGTGTTTAAGATATTGGGCTAGAAACCAGAAAATCTAAGCTCCTGCATAAAGCCAACTGAGTGATATTGGGCCACTAATTTTCTCTCAATCCTAGGAAGGAAGCAGTGGCAAACCACCTCTGAAAAACCTTGCTAAGGAAACTGCAGAGAATCTCTAACGATTAAATAATTAAACAAAAGAGTGAAAAATCTATTTTGTAATTGAAGGTTCTTTGACATTCATTTGTTATTATAAACATGTTTGGGTAAAGCCAAGAATGCTTCTTTATTTTGCATTCCACTTTATCTAGATATGTGTGACTAATCTTAGCAGGTTGATAAATCAGCAAAATTGCTTATACATAAACAGGAACACACAAAAATTTATTGCATTGTTTACTAAGTGAGTGTAGATTAGTTTACTCTTAGTGATATAAGACATATCAACATAGGGAAATTCCATAGTTTTGAAGAAATACTATATAGATTATTATCCTTCAATAGGAGAAATCTTTGGTAAGTCATCATAATTGCTTACTTGTGTTTAAAGATCTGTAGATACATTTCCTTTTAAAAATGGTTGAGGTTGATGAATATATAATACAAATATTAGAAAAACAAGCAAAATCAGTGTTATATATGTTTGTGGTTTCTGTTCTCTGCATTTATAAATAAATATCTGTTGCCATGAGAATAGGAGTGTTTAAAACTAGCTTTAAAAAATCACTGCTATGATATTAATGCATGTAATATACAAGAAAAAATGTGATAAAGAAAACAACATATAATTTCCAAATTAATGAGTTTAAGAAATTAAGTTTCCTGTGGATATTGTGATTACAATGGTTGCTTGCAGGAAGATTCTTCCCTTATTTGTATCTCTTTCAATAAAAATTAAATGTGTGCCTAGTTTTCCCCCAAAAAAGAAATTAGGCAGGTTTCTGCCAGTATATTAGGTTAATATTTCTCTCTTATCAGTTAGTATTAGAATAATCATTATTGTCATGTTACCAAACAGCAAAATAATTTCTTCAAATGGCTTGATAAAATTACTAATCAAATGATTTTTGATTATTATCTTTCTTTCCAAAATATCATTATGGGGATGCTTTGTGGAAGAATGTCAGATTTGATTGTCCTCACTAACTATCAAAGACAGTTCACTCGACAAGTTTTAGTATGCAGAGTTCTACAATTTTAGCTATTTAACATCTGGCAAAGCATGCATAGATTTTACATTAACTAGACATTATTTGCATTAATGCTAAAGTCTAAACCCATGTTTCTTATGGTAATTTTAACAAATAGGATGGCAAGAAGATACGGTTCTTAATAATTCATGTTCTTGCAGTTTTATTTGTCCCATATCTGCTTCTTTGGTTCTTTTTTTTTTAACTTTGCATATCGACCTACTTACCTACCTACCTACCTACGCTATTTTTGCTATCCAATAAGCAATGTGGAATCAGTTTATTCCATGATTTTGTAAATTAGGACTGGAAATATTAACGGCTTTCTTCCTGTGGTAGAAGTTTATAAATCTAGTGAATATTACTTGCAGTTTAATTTCTTATTCTTTTGAAAGTCAAATCTGCTTTCTAACACTGTATGATGAAAAGCTTAAATATGTATTGTTTGCCCTGAAAATAAATATTCATTGCGTTTTGAAGTTCTATCACACTTCATTTAGGAACTGAAGAGGAAATACATGAACCATTAGATTTGCTAAAAAATATTACTATTCATATTTATTCTCTTTAGCTGTTCTGTATATTGAGACTATTAATTACAGGGGTTTTACCTGAATGCTGTTGCTTATTTACAAAGTCAAAATATTATTGTGAAAAGAGCAAAAGTTGTAGCAACAAAATATTCTAAAGTACCAGCATAACTCAGCCTCTTAGTACTTAAAATGTAACACAAATTCTAAACAAATAACAGATTATTCCCTTCAGATTCAGAGCATACACATTTGCATCTGACTGGTTATTCCATTAAAAAAAATGGAAAGTGCTTGATTCTAGCAGCCATGCATTTTCCCTAAACAAAAGGAGAAAAACAGAAGAGGTACTCTTAAAACCTGGCAATGAAACCTAAAATGCATGAGAAATATTTTCATTTCTTGGACTAGAAAAATTCCTTACTTCTAAGTTTCTTGTTCCAGAAATATCCATTGCAATATGGCGTGCTTGTTTTCTTTCCCATGCTCTGGCTGAATTTTTTTGAGTACCACTTACCATGTTTCCCCGAAAATAAGACCCTGTCTTATATTTTTTTGAACCCTGAAATAAGCGCTTGGCCTTATTGCCATGCACTCAAAAGCCCAATTGAGCTTATTATCAGGGGATGTCTTATTTTGGAGGAAACAGGGTACATTCCAAATATAGGTATAATGTGTCTAGTGTAATTATCCAGAGATATAAGATACTGTATTTTTTGGAGTATAAGACGCACCTTAGTTTTTGGGGAGGAAAATAAGAAAAAAGCTGATTGGCAGGTGGATCTGCCTCCTAGAATACTCCCAATCAGCTGTTCCCAGAGGTGAATTTTAGCAACAGGTTCCTTGGTTGCAAGCTCTGTGCCTTGCTTTTTTTGGGGGGGGTGGGCTTTTTTTCCTATCTCTGAAAGCCTTTGAAACAGAGCTTCAGAATAAAAGCCTCTGAAGCTCTGTTTGGGGGCTTTTTTTCTGAAGCTTTTTTTCTGATGCTTTTTTCAGCCTCTGAAACCTCGGTTTGAGAAGCTGGGCGGGGCTACATTTGGAGTATAAGACACAGATTTTCACCCTCTTTTTGGGGGGGGGAAAGGTGCATCTTATATGGTATATGCAATATCTGAATGAAGAGCATCCTGGCAAATTACGATGGTTGGTGTATTCTATGTTCATTAATGCATGTTAATGCAGCAATAATTTTGAAGATTATTTGTATCAAATTTTAAATTTGATTTAAAATTTAATCTTAAATTATGGTTTCATAATTTGGTGGTTTTTTAATTTTTACTCTTGTACACTTTTATTTATTTATTTTATTTATTTATTTTATTTGGCTTATATGCCGCTCTATCTCACAATGGACTCAGGGCGGCTCACAACAATAAAACACAAGCCACAATAAAAATAAAGACTAAAATCTAAAAAATTTAAAATTAACCCATTAAAACCCTTAAAACCCCATCATCAGACCAGGTCAAGGGATTTGAAAAGCCAGGTTTTTAATTCCCGGCAGAAGGTGCGAAGGTTGGCGCTAGTCGGAGCTCCAAGGGGAGTTGATTCCAGAGGGTGGGCGCCCCAACCGAGAAGGCTCTACTCCTGGGGGCCGCCAGCCGCCACTGTCTAGCCGATGGCACCCTGAGTAAGCCCTCTCTATGGGCGCGAACCAGGCGATGGGATGTTGTTGCTAGCTGTAGGTGGTCCGCCAAATATCCTCTCCTAAACCAAGTCCAAAAGCCACTTTTGCTTTTGACAGTAATTACCTTTGCTTCATGTATGGTACAACCTGGCCAAAACAGTTCAGTTATGTAGTATTTCCCAAAAATCTTCGTGTGTGCATGTGTGCACACGCACGCATATATATATATAATTTTTATTGGAAGAGTATGCTTTTTAAAGAAATAGATTAATATAAGTTTTTAAATGTTATTGTTCAGACAATAGCTATGCAAATCTGTACTAGCTAAATGAAATGTACAAGTACAAGATTTTTACCTTATTTTGTCAGATGAAAACAAAATACATTTGTTGTATATGTTTATGATACAAAAATATTGTTTATAATAATATGTGTTAAAATATAATTTGAAAATAAAGTGTGTTTTTATGGGAAGATCTATATTCTTTATATTTATATATATATATTTCCTTTGTAGCTGAATATCGTGAACATAACCTCTTCAGTGGTGGATTCAAAATGGGGAAACTGTGCAAATTTTGTGATGTTAAATTGACAACCTGCATCAATGAAGGTCATTGTTGCAGTAACTGCAACATCACTTCTATTTGCGAACACAAAAATGAAATCTGTGCAGCTATTTGGTAAGTACGTTGTACCTAAGTGCAAGAATTGGCATTGGATTCATTGGGTTGGGTTTTGTTTTGTTTGTTTTAAATTTGTCTCCAACTTCCACTATACCTTCTGATTATTGTGACAGTTTTCAGAATAAAACCAAGCTTTGTTTCAATTCATTTCAATGGAATATATTGAAATTCTTATTTCTTATATTGCAGGAGCATAATTTTCTTGCAAAATGAAACAGATATATTTGGGGAAGGGGGCTTATGTAGTTTGAAATTCAGATATTTACAGTACATCTGATAGCAAAGTCTAGTCCTTCGGAAAACAGAAGCAAAGCAGATGAGTTAGGATACAATCTATTCAGAAGATGGTCATTATAGACCAGATTTTATTAGATGTATATTAAGTTATGCCTATTTAAATTCACTCTAGTATGGCTCACTAGAAACACAGAACCATACAAGCTATAATAGATTCCATGTCTTGAAAAGTGGAAGTTTAAAATATATTCAATAAATTTTAATTAAAACTCATTGATCCGGTTTAAATTATCATTTTTGACTTCTACAATTCTGACAACATAATTAAACTGGAAATTTCTAATTAGCATCAAGTTTTTGTTCCATCCAGATTGGAAATTAATGTTACGAGATTTGAAACAAGCCAAGGATATTAAATTGTCTTTAAAATACTGGCTTGTTGCAGCAGTGTAGGTTAGTTTTCCAATGTATACATTAAGAAGAACTTTGATAATCAGTTTTATAGGATGATTACTCATGTAAAGATGGCAGATTGAGATGGGTCGTGGGTTAAGTTCTTACTCTCCCTATCTGCCATTTCTACCATGTTCCATATGCTATCTTTCTAACATGAATTAAATACTGTAGATACACATTTGTGTATCTTAGTTACCACAAGATGTTCCTCCAAGCATCTGGGACAATCTTTGTTTTAGATTTTTATTCCTATTTTACTATTTTTTATAAACAACTTATGGCACGCTCAAACATATTATAACTATTTGTGCATATCCAGTGATTCCAAATTCACATCCTCAGTTCAGTTGTTGGCTTTCATAGTGCTAACTAAGGTACATTATGATAAACTAAGGTGATCTTGGCTAATTTCATTTCACAGTAAAACAACTCATGTATAAAGGATGTGCCTCTGGAGGTTATTACATCAATGTTGAATATATTAGGATGTACACATTATAGTTCACCAAGCTGGATATTGGCCTGTATCCATTTATGGTAGTCCATGAAAGACTTATTAACCCTCACATTTGCTATTGAAAGGAAAGTAGGTGACCATCCAATAACTCGAAATGCAGACTATGAATGACTGGCTAGTAAACTGCTTTTGTCTTGATGGCTCATTTGTTATGCTTATTTGAATTATTTAATAAGCTGGATAAATACAAGCACTTCTATTGTCTTTTATTTTTTATAAATAGCCATTCCTCAAAAATAGTTCGCAAGATGATTCAAAACTATACAGATTTATTCAAGACAACTATTTCAGTAAATACATACCATATTTTTCGTAGTATAAGATGCTCCAAAGTATAAGACGCACCTTAATTTTGGGGGAGGAAAATAGGGAAAAAAAATTCTGCCTCTGCCTACCAGGTATTCATCTGGCTAGCATCCTTAGCCTAGTCAGCTTCAGCACATTAGTTCACTGGTTGTGAGCGAGCCTCATTGGGTCAGTTTCAAAAGCACAGCTGATCGTCAGAGAGAGCTCGTTTTGCTCTCATGCACCTACTTGGGGTTGATAAGCAGCTTCTAAAGCACAGCTGATCGTCGGAGGGAGTTCCAGTGAGTAAAACAGGCAAAGGGGTAAGACAAGGCAGCAGCTGTTCCAGGTTGCCATTTTGAGCTCTGTGCCTCAGTTTTCAGCCTCCAAACGCTCCATTTGAGATCTGTTCAAGGCTGCAGGGATCACCAAAGCACATCGCTGCCAATCGCTGCCTGAAAACACAATGCACAGAGGCCAAAAACGGCGTGCAGAAGCCATACGATGTTGTGTGCCAAGGCTGAAAATGCAATGCGCAGAAGCGATGATCGGCGGCAATGTGCTTTGGCAATCGCCACAGCCTTGAATTGCTCAAAAATGGAGTGTTTGGAGGCTGAAAACGCGAGACACGGAGCCCAAAAATGCAAGCCATTGTCTGTGGCAATCCCTGAAGCCAGGAAGAGGAAGTGCTGAGGCCAAAGGGTGGGGGCTGGTGGGTAGGCGGGGCTACATTTGGAGTATAAGATGCACCCAAATTTTCAGCCTCTTTTGAGGGGGAAAAAGTCTGTTTTATACTCCAAAAAATACGGTATTTGTATTTGTGATAACATTGTACTTTCTGTTTCAGATAACTTAATGCAGTTTAAATTAACTGCAGTAATCATTATAGAAATGATTACTGCAATTTAATTTTGGTGCAATTATTTTTTTATTCTGTATAACCCTATTTTCAGTTGTCTTTCTTTAGAAAGAAATTTGTGCTTTTTTCATTTTCTACCATTTTTAGGAGAAAGAATAATGGGAACATAACTCTAGAAACAATATGCCATGATCCTACGCTAGAGCTCCATGGATACAAATTGGATGATTTCAATTCAAAAAAATGCTTCATGAAAGAGAAGAAAGGAGCTGGAGGATTGCTATACATGTGTTCCTGCAAAGATGATGAATGCAATGATGAAATTATTTTTTCAGAAAGTAAGTGTGTATTATATTTCATTTTATACAAGGATCCACTTTTTGACCAGGACTGTCCAGTTGATAAAGAAGGCTTCCATGGAAGCCTCATGATCCTGAAGAGAGAGAATAGTTGCTTTAACAAGTCAATAAAATTGTGAAATATTCCATGCAATTTGCATAATAAACTTATAGATCAAACAATTTCTGATTATTATATTTTCCTCCAAAGTAGCAATAGTAGAATTATTCCTAAAATAATAATTAAAAGAAACATTCTCATTCAATAGATTCTGACAGACAGTTCTCTATGACCTCAGTTATTGTTATTGTTATTCCATTACAATGTATGGAATATGTATATTTATCACCCTATCAGATAATCAGACTAGACATTAGTTCTGAAAATAATTAATTCCAAATCTTTACATAAAGGAAAGGAAAGTGGAAAAAAACCTGGGACATTAAATAATAAAATAAAAAGAAAGTGTTTGTACCAGTTTTTTCCCATTACATTGTTTGAATTCATCTTCTGAGATCATAGAACGCTATAATCCCTGAATTATATGCTATTTACAAGTAGCATTGCTTTCCATTATAAAGATTTTAGTGACATCCAGAAAGTGACTACTATAGGTAGTGAGATATTTTGCTTTTGATTCAGTCAACCCAAGCCAATCCTTACAACTTCTTAAATAAAGATATTTCTCCTGTGTGCTGCTTGGTGAGTCCAAGCATGGGTTTTCTTATCATCTGATTGGCCGTAGACTGAGTTGGAAAATCTTTGGCCACACCTCTTCCTGCCGGCCGAGCCTCAGTTTTTTCAACTCAGTCAGCCTAGAGAGACGCAGTTGAGTTTCCTCTTACTGTTTTTGAGTTGGATTGACTTTGATTATTCAAACTTTTCCTGGATTTGGTTGCTGAAATTGTTAGCAGGCTGGGGAAAGCACACCTTGCTGTAATCGGTGCCAGCGGCCCAGCGGGGCTTATATTACTGTCAGAAGAACATCTCCGATGATTACACAACCGGCCATTTCCAGTAGGCAGGCTGGATCGGAGATGGCGCGCTGAGCAGATTCCTCAAAAAGACCGAGGCTTCGGTCTTCAGTGAGTGTGGGTGGCCGATCGGAGCACTGAAGAGCCGATTTGTTGGCTCTGCACCATCTAGGGAGGTTTTTTCCCCCCTGCATTTGTGACAATGTTGCTGGTCTCACGCTACTGGTTGGGGGAAGCACTTGTGAAGAGACGCATAGAAGCCGTTTTGCCAGTTTTGTGCCAAATTGATTTTCCGGCTGCCACACCTCCATTAATTGGCATTAATTCAACCGTGTTGTCGGTTTGAAGCCATTTGCTGCTGAATTTTTTCATGTTTCAACCTGTATTTGTGAGCTTCGGCCAAGGACTGCCTGGATTAAGAGGATTAATCCCAGGATTGGATGTTCCCTAGATTATTTGCAGCAAGAAAATTTGCAACAGCCAACATCCAAGATGACAGATCACTCTGGCTCCCGCAGCAGCAATTTTGCTAATTCTTTTCTCAGACAAAGATCAGAGGCTTCTGATCACAGGGTAGCTGGATTGATTTTAAATAAACCCACAACCAGATCCAAGGCTAACTCTTCAAAATCTGAATCAGCTGCAGCAGAAAAGAATACCAAAAGAAGGCAAAAAGTCTTGGAGAAACATTTTGCTAAGGCTCAAAAGCAAGCAGAGGCAGACAGGCCCTTACCTACTCCAATTAGCGTGAAGGCTAGCATTTCTGGGGAATAAGAATTTCCCATTATGGACCCACAGGGGGGCCACTTAAATTGGTCCTCTGAGGTTAATGTAGGATCACATGCAGTCCCATGTATGGAGGATTATGTTCCTCATTCTGATGGGGATATGGCAGGTGTCCTACCTGTCAGAGGCATAGGCATTCAGGGCCATCATTACGCCTACAGCGGCAGGGCACCGCCCTGAAGAGAATTTGGCCCCCAGTCTGTCTAAAGAACTTTGCACTCTTATTTCACAGACTATCTCACAGGGCATTGACACAGCTCTGCAGCAGAGATCCTCCCATTTACCCACCCCCCATCCTCATTTACAATCTGAGGTGGGCATCATTCCAGAACCTCACTCCCCACTTCCTTTCTTGCATAGCGAGGTTTCATTCGGGGGTGAGGAAGAGATGGATGATTATGAAATGTCAGAGGAAGAAGGAGCCTCCCAGGACAAGCCTACATATTCGGGTCTTTTCAGGCCTCACTTGTTCAAGCCCTTGCTAATGAAGGCTAAATCTACAGCCAATATAGGAGTGACTCGGGGTTTAGCTGAGGATCTTCAGGACCTACAGACCCACACACCAATCTGTTCCCAGAACCAATTACAATGCAGGAGGTGATTCCATCACCTAAATTTTTTATGGATGTCAGTGGAACCAGCCTGGATCCGATCCTGCTCCTAGTGGGATGGATGGATAGAAAGATGTATACCGCTGAACAGGATTTGAGGATCTTTTACAGATTTCGTCTGTCGATGCTCCTTTGGCTACATTGGCGTCAGTGGCCATTCTCCCTTCAGATACTGCTGAAGACCTTAAAGCAGAGGACAGGAAGGCAGAGCTTTCAGCTCGTAAGACTCATCAGGCAGCTGCTTGTGCTATTAGATCAGCCACGGCTGCTTCATTTTTTACTAGGATATCTCTCATCTGGCTGTGCCAAATGCAAACCAGGGTGGCTCCAGAGGACAACAGATTACAACAAGGTATTAGTAAATTGATGGCAGCAGCCAAATACTAGGCAGATGCGACTTTAAACGCAGCAAAGTTTGCCTCTAGAGCACTGGCATCCAATGTGACATCAAGGCAACTTTTATGGCTTCGCCAGTGGCAAGCTGATAGGAAGTCAAAATGGTGGCTAGCTTCGGCCCCGTTCAAAGGCGGTAACCTTTTTGGAGAGGTCCTCAAGCCTATCCTGGTAGAGGGTAAGGATAAGTGGAAGGTTCTCCCATATGCCCACGGAAGGGCTGAGAGGAGATCTATCCCCTTCTATAGATGGCAACCTTTTCAGACTCAGGATGCGGGGTTCAATCCCCCATCCTACCAGAGACCCTGTTCCCAGGGTTTTGATAGATCCCAAGAAAGGACATCCTTTTGGAACAGAGCTAGGCAGCCCCAATCTAGGCATCCCTTTTGGGGGACCAGTAACAGACCTTACCACCATACTAAGTGAGTTCCATTCACAGATTCCTATTGGCAGCTGCTTAACCAGCTTTGCTGACCAATATCAGGATACCACTACTGATGCTTGGCAGTGCAGACAGGCTCAGGCTCACTTTAGAGTTCTGTTCCATTCCACCATGCCAGTTTATTCAATTCCTGTTCCCAGGGACTCGACCAAGAGACATCTAATGGAAACAGAGATCCAGCTCTTGCTGGATATCGAGGCCATAGAGCCAGTGCCCGTGGACCAGAATGGTTTCGGATATTATTCCATCCTTTTTCTGGTTCCCAAGAGTTCGGGGGGGTGGGGGCAGAGAGCCATCTTAAATTTGAAAGACCTCAATCTGCACATCAAGTGTAGAAAGTTTAAGATGCAATCCTTACAGTCTATCCTAGGTTGCATTAGACAGGGTGATTTTTTGACATCTATTGATCTCCAGGAGGCATATCTCCACGTGCCTATTAGACTGTTGCACAAGCAATTCCTCTGATTCTCGTATGCAGGTCTCCATTGGCAATAAAGGGCACTTCCTTTTGGCCTTTCCTCAGCCCCACAGACATTTACTAAACTTCTAGATGTCATAGCAGCTCATTTGTGAGAAAAGCCAATTAGGTTTCAATGCTATCTAGACGATATTTTAATCCAGTCATCATTCATAGCTCAAGCGCAAAGGGACCTGCAGATCACGATCCAAGCTTTCCACGATCACAGATTCTCTGTGAGCTGGGAGAAGATTCATTTAACACCAGCCACCTGCATCACTCATTTAGGGGCAGTCATAAATACACCGACATCTCAGGTTTTCTTTTCTCAGGAACGCAGAGACAGCATAAGGGCCTTGGTGTTGCAGATCAGAGCATTAAGATGGGTGCCGTTGATACTTCTTTCCAATTATTGGGAAAGATGATTTCTTGCCTGTCTATTGTCCCTTGGGCTCGTTTCCATGCAAGAGCCCTTCAATGGCTTTTTTTGCCCAGCCAGAGATCAGGGTGCAGCAATTCAGGCAACAAGATCTGATTCCCGGCAGAGTTCTTCGGTCCCTGGACTGGTGAATATCAGCGGCCATGAAACAAGGCTGCTTCTTCAGAGAACCTGCCAAGCAGGTTGTGACTTCGGATGCCAGTCTGTATGGCTGGGGAAGCCATCTGGAAGCTCGGGTGACCCAAGGACGGTGGTCACAGGAGGAACTGCGCAATGATATCAATTGGCTGGAGCTGGGAGTGGTGCACTTGGCGCTCCGACATTTTCAGTATGCCTTGACAGGTCAGCATGTGCTCCTGTTCACAGACAACATAACAACAAGACAATGTCAACCAGCAAGGCAGCACCCATTCCAGAACGTTCATGTGCGAAGCGACAAGGTTATGTCTGAGAGCAGAGAAGCACCTGCTATCCCTGCGAGCAGAGCACATTTCCAGGGTCTCCAACACTCAAGCAGACTGGTTGAGCCGGATGACCATAGATCCATCCAAATGGCGACTTCACACAGTCATCTTTCCCATATGATGACTCTATTCGCCATGCCACTCGTGGACTTATTTGCCAGCCCTCTCAATACTCAGCTTCTGAGATTTTTCTCTCACTTCCGGACGCTGGCGGCTGAAGACACCAACATCCTCCGTTGCCCGTGGCAATCCCATTGCAAACTGGTAGTAAAGGTAAGTCGAACCCACTCCTGCCATGTATCCTCCTCAATCTTTATTGTGCATCCTTCATATCCTCACCATTCCCACACATATCCTTAAGTTCATTGTACTTTCCTCACACCCCCATCCAGGCTGTCGTCATGCCTCCTCACACTTTTGAATATCTCTGGTC